GATGTAACTAATGAAAAAAAAAAAAAAAAAATAACAAAATGCTAAAAAAAGGAATGTCGTTGATTAAAGGAGTAAAGGAGGAAAAAAAATAAAGCATGAAGAGAGTAAGTCGAAGAAGAGATAAAATTAGGGGACGGAGTACTTATAAGTAATAACTAAAAGGAGAAAAGGGATAAAAAAAAAAAAAGTACCGTACGACATTTAAACCGAGAACCATCGAACTACTATTCTATTTTTTCTTGTTGTTTTTTTTTCGTAATTATTAATGGATTATCTTAATTATATCCCCCGTAATTATAATTTAACATCCTAGAAGATTAATACCCAGATTCTACCCCGTTTCCATCATTCATTCATCCAGATCCAATGTTTTAAAGAAATCACAGAGTAATCCAATGCTTTTCCTATGCTCCCTCGGAGGAAATATCGGGAACATTATCAAGAACGTACATGTGAGACAACAAAAATAAAAAAAAAATTAATAAAACGTACGAAAAAAGGGAAAAAAATGAAACGTATAACTTTGAAGAAGAAGAAATACCGTGCCCGCTTTGGCGAAGGTAAATAAGCGGACGAAAACGTGAGAGAAAACGTTAATAGAGAGAAGAAGAAGAAGAAGAAATAAAATTGAGAATGCCTTTTAAAAGAAAGAAAGAAAGAAGAGATTGCGGGTAAAATGTTATTGAAACGAAGTAAGACGGGGGTGTTATTAGGAGATGTTGACACGACGCGAGAGTGGTTGTTTAAAAAAAAAAAGAAAAAAAAAGAAGTGACGAACGATGTTGTACGTGAATGCGATGCGGAGAACGGAATGAAGGGAAAAAGAGAAATAAAAAAAATAAAAGAAACTCGAAGGAACATCCGAACATGTATTCTCTGCGCGAAGTAATGTACGCAAAGGGAGTAACCAAATAAAGGCATTGCAAACGCTGAAATTAAATGTCTTATCACCTCTCTACCCTACTTCAATTTTTTATTTAAAAAAAGTAAGACGTTTCACTGTTTCTTTAAATATGTTTTTTTTATCGAACGCCAAAAGCAAACATCGTCATCGAGACAAGGCAATTATGTCCTTTAACGTTCGTCTCCTTTTCTATCAGACAAACACTTAAAATTTCGATCTGAAGTTGGTGCTCTGAAAAGCGTGAGTGGGCGCCGGTTGAAGATTGAATCTGAGCGGTTTCACTTTCGACAATTTACCCTTGCCAGAGTTATTCCGATCGATCTTCGTGATCTTCGTACGGTGTCGGTAATACCAGTACTCGAAGGCCAATGTGAAACAGGCGAATATTATACCCAAGAATATCACAACGAACACACCGCCGATATTGTGGATACTTATACCGTCGCTCTGACTATTCTCCGCGTCGCAGTCTTTCTTATCCGGGTTCTTCTTCCACCATTTGTCCTTCAATTTCTCCAATTTTCTCTTATTCAACAATATCAAGATTCTGCGCGGAAAGAAAAGCCAGACAATGGAACGAGAATTACACGGTAATTAAGATTTAAATTGGTAGGAGAGGGAAAGTTGAGAGACTTTGGTACGCACGCATTGTTGAACTGATCCTTCAAAGGCGAGCCCTGTTGTACAGCGATGGCGTAAGGCTTCCTCGAGAAGTCTTCGCCCACTTGAACCAGGTCGCAGTTCGTCATGGTGAGATACTTTATAGTTGTCGAGTCTTCTATGTAGGCGAACTCGTTGTTCGAGTCGACACGCCTAACTCTTCTCACCGCGTCCTCTTGCGTCGCTGGAAAACCTGCTTCCTCCATCGCTTGCAGCATCTTCGTGTACTTGTCGCTCACAGGATAGTCCCACACCGCCAATTCAGCTCTCTCCACCTCCGACAAACTGTCGTTCAGGCTCATCTCCTTCCAAATGCTAAACCGAAAATAAGAAAAAACATTTTTCAACGGTCTCACACAAATCTTACGATCGTTTATCTTTCACTCACTCGTAGAATCTCCACTCGATGGCAGCCATCCTTTTGAAGTAAGTGTAAGCCGGAGAGTTCAATACCGGGGCGTACTGGATTTTATACTGTTTGCTGAGGTCCTCGAGTGTTTCAATCGGGATCTCCAATCTGGAGACGGTGAGGAAAGCGGCGAGATTCGCCGTGTACGAAGCGATAATAATAAATCCGAATAGCCACCATGTAGCAGCGACGAGCCTTCCGGAAAGGTTCTTCGGTGCTTCGCCGCCACCCTGTGGCGTCAAAGAGGTCATACAGAACCAGAAACACTCCCTTAAATTAAATTCCCTCTTCTCGTCGTCGTTCTTGTATTTCTCCCTGTTATTCTGGTAGCTGTACGGCGACCAACGATCGAAGATCCACAGGAGAACGCTGGTGAACAGGTAGGCAGCTAATATGCAGAACCAAACTTCGTTCTCCAGTACGGTTAGAAATTTGAACAACGACGTAGAAGTCTTGGTTTTCAACATCATAATAGACAAACCGACTAGATCGTAATAGGGAACAGTGAAATCGACCACTCTTTCTCTTTCAGCTGTGACCCATAGCGAGCCCAAAGCGATGTCGGCACGTTTGTCGATCAATTCCTTCATCATCCCGTTCCAGGTTCCGTTTGGACTTAAATTACCGTACAATTTACTGTCGGTTTCTCGAATTTCGTACTGGAAGCCTACCGTGTCCTTGATTTCGTTCAACAGATCGATGCAGAAGCCGTAGTACTCGTTCTTTTCCTGGTTGTACATTACAAATGGCGGATGAATTACGGTGATCACACGGTAGCTCTTCACCGCTGTTGTATTCATCACGTCGTTGTTTGTTATCTTTACGGGAAATATAGTTCAGTGAGTTTTGGATTGATTAACGAGATCAGAATGATCGAACGAAGGTAGGTGTAGGTCTCTGACAGCGATCGGTAGGATAAATTTGTGAGAGGGAACGATCGGTGGGATGAATTAGCGAGAGAACGATCGTGTGATAATGCAGTTAGATGTAGTTACGTTTGAATTAAGGTAAGCACGGTTTCTAGACGATGGAATAAGGTATTCGACGCGGAACTGGTGAATGCCAGAAGACGATTAGGTCCGTTCCGAAGGGTTTCGCGTTACGTAGTATTGGATAAATGAATAAAATTGCATGCTCTATCTCCATCAGTGCACGCTCTTATCGGCAATAAGTGTAAATAAATGTAACGAGCGCGTGTCAAGGGTAATCGTTATCTTGATGGCTGGCTGAAACGAGGGTCGTAACTAAGAAATTGAAATTTTTCATATTAAATATGTATATGTCGCAAGTGTTTCAACTAGGAAAGGAGAAAAATGTTGGAATTTAGATAGGAAGATGTAATTACCGATGAAGGATTGAAATTGCTTTCATCTATCATGGTTTATTTTTCAATTTTCTTAATGGATGGCCTTTCCTTTAGACTCTTCGTTTCTCCTTCGTTTCTATTAAGGAAGGGTAATGATAGAAAATTTCTTGTCCTCTCCGTTTAAGACGGGATTTTTAAACGAGACCTATCCCGTTCGTTATTTCGTTTCCGACGTAATTTATAACGATTAATCGTGGTAAAACGTGTACAAGCTTGCTAGTAGCCGTGACATTCGATTATTGAACAGGTTGCCCCATCCTCGCGTGACTCAAAAGCACCATCATTTTTTCGCTGATCAATAGACCGACCTAATTTCGTTTAAACGCACTTTTCCATAAATTAAATGAATTTTCTATGGCCCTGCCCACGTCAATTGTCCACGCGGAAACTACTTCGACGATTCATTTGTTACTCCTTTCGCCGTTAATATCCACACGTGTAATGAACTTTCTCTAGTCGTAAAAATAGCCTCCGTTTTAACCGAACTTGTACGGAAATATTCAAAATTACACGTTTCGATGAAGGGAGTTGAAATGGAGCGAAAAAGTCGACACACACACGACGTCGTCGATGAAACACGGAGTATAGTCGATGGAAGAAATATAGCGAGATCGTAAATTCAAGCGTTAAGTACTAGGGTATACTTCGTACAGCTTTGAGATTTCGAGTTCTTATCTTCTCAAGTTTCCGTCGATTCCCTCTTCGATATGCTTTAAGATTGAAACTTCGACGCTTCACCGATTTTACGACTTTGCCGTATTTCTTCCATCGACTATACAAAGTATAAACAGAAACAAAGGACGCGTCAGTCATTTCGAGGAAAACTAAAATGGGGTGTGTACTGGGGATGACAAGCAAGTATGGAAGTTGCAGGTTTGTAGGGGGCCTCGAGACAAGTATCGGGCAATTCTTTTTCGCCCTTTTTCGGTTCTTCGGGGGTGAAACAGCCCTTGAATAAGGATAGGTGTTACCTTATTTCCCTATCTTTAAAACTATAGTGGATATAAAAAAATGACAATGCTATTAAATTAATTGCCCGATACTTCTATCGAGGTCCCCTGCAAACCTGCAAACTTTCGGGTTACCTAAGTTTCCTTGTCGGTATAAATAGAGTAGGTGGAGAATGGAAAAAATGGTGTAGAGTGTCTCGTGAAGAGTTGTTGTCGAATTTATATCGTGTTAAACCACTTATATCAACTTTAATTTACCTACTGTAATAACTGTCGTTCGTGTAAATATGTCCATATGTAAATCTATCATCTGAGGAAAAGCAAACCTACAAAGATAGCGCAGATGTAATAAAAATTTACCAGCAAAGGTTCAGAGACACTCGCGTTCCAAGATCCGCTGTCGACAGTATTCGTAGCAACTCCATCTTCTATGTTCACCAAATGAATAGACATCTCGAATTTCGCCTGATGTTCACCGTTCTTGTTTCCCCATTTGATCCCAGCGTAAGTTGGCGTCATATTCGCATAAATATCCTTCAACTTGCCGAAAAAATCGAACTTTCTCTCCGGTGTATTCGTATTGTTGTACTCGTCGCAGGTGATTTGCCTCGGTTGCAGCGGCCATTCTCCGTTGTCCAAGGCCGATTTCATCGCTCGAACACCCAGCTGGAGCAAATCGTAATAAAAGGCAGACGAGATGATCGGTTTCGGCAATGTCGCGTCCACCGTTGGCCTCCTCTCTTTCAGCTCCGGTTTCATGAATAAAACGGTCATATTTCTGCACTCACATCTGGGCCAAATGTTTGCCTCAGGAGTCAGCAGAAACCAGCCGTACTTTCTTCCGGTGAAATTCAAAGCCTCGGCTGCTTCTAGGGCTACGTTAAGGGTACTTTCATCGCCCAAAATGAAATAATTCACTATGTCCAGATCCCTTAAACGCGGCAACTGTCGTCTCATTTTCATCACCTGTTGTGACGCTTCGTTAATCACGTGTCTGGTTGGTACGTTCAGCAACAAGCTTTTGTACTTGTGGTCCATGATGAAATTCTGGTCGTAGAGAACAGCCGCGTTTGTAATATTCAGTTGGATCGCCAACTGCCTGACGGCCTCCGGTATTAAGTCTCCCGGAGGCATTACTTGGATTAAGTAGCTTTGCTGATCAGCGTTCAAATTCCTCCAGTATAGAAGATCTCCCTCTTGGCCGTATTGAGCGGACAACGTTGGGATACCGAGGGCGACGGTGAAAGAGTTGGATATTTTCGCGCTTAAACCGGCTGTCGTCGTGTCTATCACGAAATCTGGAACTTTGTCGGTGCCTTTTTCTACAGCCGCGTCCCAAACGTTGCAGATACGGTCCAAAGTGTCGTTCACGTCCGAATCGTTGGTCTGCACGCTCCATATCCTGCCCAAATAATTCGGATGCTTCTCTTTGATGGCCTTTACGGCCGCGATTATGCTACTGTTCGCCACTTTGTTCGCCTCGTCGTTGATGATGACTGATGGGAAAGCGCGACGGAGCGGACGGTCGGAGTAGAATTGTTGGAATTGAAAAGATTCGAGTAAAAGACGCTTGAAATTCTTGAAAATCGAAGTTTGGAAAATTGAACGTTCACATTTGAAATAGAATGTTCGAATTTTCAAATTTGAAGTTTGAATTTTTTTAATTAGGAACTGGGAAATCTGAATTTCTAGAATTAGAAACTTTGAAATTTGAATTTTTATGATAAGCAACTTTGAAATTTGAATGTTTTCAATTAGAAAAGTTCAAATTTGAAATTCAAGGTTTGAAATTGGCACTTGGACGGTATAATTACTCACAAAGATTGACAGGCCTGGTTTTCTGATCGCTCACGACGTTTCTCTGTCCGTGAACGGTGGATTGGCCGGAAAATCCGAGGAACGTGCACGCTATAACCGTAAATCCCACGAATCTCATTTCGTCCACATGAAAATGTCCCCGCAACTGTTGCCAATTCTTCACGTTGAATTGCCACAAAAATCTGCGTACTTTTTCCTCCTGTTCTGTTTCACCTCGTAACAACTTTCTCGAAATGGTTCTCCTCTTATCGGATGGAAAAAAAAAACCACCGACAACGAAATTGCGGCTAATTTTCCAGCAACAGTGAGTAATTGGTCGGAGCGCGCGGGTTCTGTTTCGATCGCGTACGTGTTGCGTCTCGAGGCGAGGGAATATCGCGTGCGGAAATCGGTCAAGCAACTGAAGGGGTGGTTTCGAAACCCACCTCTGAAACTCTTCGTTTCATTCGTGTTTGTCCGCCGGTTGCCTCGGGAGATGACCTAATCAATTTCCCGTATCAACTTCGTCTCTTCCTTCGATTGCTTTCCCTTTTTTTTTTTTCGTACGTCGAAAATATTTTCGATCGTCGAAACAACTTTCTCGCGACGACCACCGCGGGACAAAGAGGAATCATTGCCGAGCTGTCGAGCAATTTGCATGTCACTCGTTGCGTGCCAAGTGATCGCGTTATCTCGTAATTGACCAGTCGATCGTTCATTTTTTTCGCGCTGTATGTACAATAAATAGACGTACATATGTAGAAGAGTCGTTTGAAAGTTCCATTTCGTCGTGACATCGATATCCTCGTGACTTGCGATCGCGAAAAGAGATCTGCGACGCGGCGCGACCGATCCTTACGATGAAAGCGATTTTTTTTTCTACGAATCATTTAAGTGGCATTTGAGATTCGATTTTTTTTTCGAAAATAATGTTTTCTTTCTTTTTATTCGCTCTCTGTGTCGCGAATTCTTTCGACGAAAGCGATTTATTCTTTGAGAATTAATTTACCGACTTTTGGAATTTTCGACTTATTTCGAAAACGATCTATGGAAATGATTTCTCTTCTCTTTATTCACTCTCCGCGACCGACGCGACGAATCCTTTCGACGAAAGAGACTTTTTCCTGAAAATTGAAATTTTTGATTTCTTCTCAGAAAACGATCTTTAATTTTTGTCGGTATTTCTACATGAAACCTCTTTGATGTCAGAAATTATTGACTAATGGTGACGTATGTTTCTCTTAATGGAACCATGTTCCGCCAAATACAGTATCAGAAAAAGGGGGTAACAAGATAGATGAGCTAATTGCTATCACGCTCGACGAGAAACGTCGATATTTATGGCACATCCTTCTGGGCTTGTTTCGGGACGTGTCGCGTGAAACCGCCGGACAATTGGAAAACACAGAAAGAAAACAACGGTTTTGCTCTGATTAACGTTTACTTTTCGTCCTGGTCCATTCTTTTTTTTCCCCCCGTGGTTTATATCGCTCGAAGAAATATTTATCATTTGCACACGCGGATACACACATACACACACACACACACCTGTGAGTGGGAGGATTACATTTTCCAACTTTCTCTTTCCTTTTTTCTCCCTACATTTCATTCGTCCCCTTCAGTTCGCGGCGAGGTGAATCGCGTTCCCGCGAAGGGTTGTACATTTACAACGGTTCGTTGTACGCGATAACGATACCAGCAGAATTCCAGGCAAAGTATCAGTATAGCGAGCAGTATACCGAGGAGTATCAGCAAGAATACAACCGCCAAATTGTCGAGGTCGAAGCCCATGTTTAAGTACTTCTCCGGCGGGCAATTCATTCTCAAAGGGTTCTCCTCCCACCATTTCTTCGCCAGAACGTTTAATCTCCCTCGAACGGCCAGATGTGTAATCCTTTCGATAAAAAGAGTCAATCGTTATAAGCGCGTGAGAGATCGTTCTCGCGGAAAAAAAAGAAGAAAGGAACCCCCGTTCGAGGTACAAGCTGGAAACAGCAGCCGACGGTTTCGTTGAACGATCGAATTAACGAAGTTACGGTGCAAAATGAAAAAGTTGCAAGATCCGAAGGTGGAACGATCTGATTGTAAGGTAATTGCGTTTGGGGGGAATTTAAGGGGAATAAATGGAAGTTTGCTCGTTAAACTTACGCGTCGTCGATCCTCTCTTTCAACATAGAGTCCTTCCGCAGCGCAAACGCGAACGGTTTCTTACCGAACTGTTTGCCGACTTGTTTAAAGTTGCAATCGGTCAGTATCAAGTATTTTATGGTGATAGCCTCCCCTATGAAAGCGAACTCCTGAGCGCGGTTTACTTTCTGTACAAACTTCACCGCTTCCTCCACAGACCTGACAAATCCATATCCCTCCATCGCGTAGTACATCGTCATGTACTTGTTCTCCAGTGGATAATCCCATACGACGTAGCCAGATCTGTTCGATTCGGGTACGCTCTCGTCCAGCGTCATATTTCTCCAGATTCTACGGCAGGAATTTCCTATTCACGCGGCGTCCCTTTTAAATTTACTCTCGAACATGTTACAAATGGAACGGAATCGATTGAATTTGAATTTAGAGCTTTCCACCCCTTCCACCCCGCACACACCACGCTACCCTTTGCCCGGGGTTACCTTAACCAATATTCTAGGCTCTCTTTTACGAAACTCCCGAGGAAATATCTCATTTTTCCTTTTTCGCTCACGGAATATTGCAGTGTTCGACTGGAAGCTGTGCAAGGAGGGAGCAAGTGTGAGGGGTGTGTCGAAATAATTAGATCGTGGAAAATAAAGATAGGTGTGATGTAGTAGGGTGAATGAGGTATAGGTGAGGAGAGTGTCTGACGAGAGATAGGGAGAAAAATGGGTAGAGACTAATTGCACGGGCAAGATGTGGGAATTGGGAGGATTATAGGAGATATTGGAGGAAAGATAGCGAGGGAATGTGCAAAATATGTAATATTGGGGGATGCTGAAGCATATGTTGGAGGACTGTGGAGGAATGGAAAGTGGAGATTGCATGTTGGAAGAGATGTTAGGGGATGGGAAGAAGGGAGAGCGGTGGAATTGTTAAGGAAGGTGAAATGTAAGGTTAAGGAAATTAGGCAGAGCAAGTGAGTGTGAAAAGTATGGAAGAATGAGTGAGGTTAGGTCGGAAGAGATGATGGGAGGAAGGGAAAAGAAAGGGCAATGGAATGGTTAAGAAAGATAGAAGACAAGATTGAGAAAATTAGGCAGAGCAAGCGACTGTGCAAAAAGTACAGAAAAATGAACGAGATTAGGAAGTGGGCAGGTTGGAAGAAGTGATAAGAGAAAGAAAGGCAGAAGATAAAATTAAGGAAATTAGGCAGAGCAAGTGAGTGTGAAAAGTATGGAAGAACGAGTGAGATCAGGGAATGGGCACGTTGGAAGTGATGTTAGGGGGATGGAGAAAAGAAAGAACAGTAGATTG